ACTACCAGCTTTGAAACAGTTGGGGTGTGAAAATTTTACAGAATGTGTTTAATTCATCACTGTAACACCCAAAAGACAATTACATTCAAGTCCAAAAGCAGAGTAACTTTTGTGGTCACCCAGCTCATCAGCATGTATCTGTCATGCACTGCTCTACAAGTGGCAAGACAGTAACAGTCTGGGTCCCCAGGTTTGCATTTCATTTGGGTTTTGCATATTTACTATCCATTCTGGAAGCAGTCCCTTCCGAAGCTAGTTATAAGCGGTGCTGGTGACAAAGTCCCGCTCAGCATCATGTCAGCCACAGGGGAACTGCAATGGCTTCAGAAGGTATCCTCCTCCCTTTGGAGCACTGCCCATGAACACAAGCCGCTTGCAACTCTGATATTCTCCTAAATACCTCCTGCACACTCAGGCATATGCCACTGAAAGATACCTACTGCTCACAGTCCTCTTCCCAGTATACCTTGAAGGGCAGGAACATGGCTGTTGTCTTTATTGCTTTTATTCAAGACAGTAAACCTTCCACGGCTATCCCGTAGGTCTGCAGCCCACACCACCAGCATATGCACATGACCTTCATTGGTCCATTCCTACCTACACTCTGTCCCGGAGAAGTGGCTAGGTACCTCTTTAGGTAACTGTGTTGCAGTGGGTGCAGGGGCTGGATACACAGAGGCACAGCAGATCCTGAGACCAGGTGGAGACAGTCCTTTGCCTAAATGGCTCTCAGTGCCCAGAGCCAGCCAATCCCAAATGTTAGTCACAGGATTTGAAGTGGAATTTAGAATGATAGAATCATAGAATAGTATGGGATGGAAGAGACCTTTATAATTCATGTAGTCCAAACCCCCTGCAATGAGCAGGGACATCTTTAACTAGATCAGGTTGCTCAGAGCCCCGTCTAGCCTGATCATCAATGTTTCCAGGGATGGGGCATCTACCACCTCTCAGGCAACCTGTTTAGACTGACTGAATTTGGCACCTAGTGCCTGTTGACTGAATTTATAAGTCAACGCCCTTGAATGTGTTAGATCTGGTCTTAACTCCCTGACATACAGGGTTTTTTTTTCTTTTTTTAAGATGGTCAATGACAATGAAATATTTTCAAACATCATCTGAAAATAAAAAAAAAAAAAAAAAGATACTTCAGCTTATACCAAGAAGCAAAGCCACACACATTCAAACCCCAAAGGGGACTGTCTCATTAGATCTGCTCTGCAGGGAGCTGTTTGTCCTGCTGCTGAGCTGAGCGCTGGTAGCCTCCACTGGCACGCTGATGGAGAGAATATTACAGCATGCCCCACGGGCCTGTGGGAGAGATCAGACCAATGTTTCGGCAAAGGAGGCATCAGAACAAATGAGGGAGCACATGAGCTGCATTTCAGAGTGAAATCTCTACGTCCTGAATGACTGCAGCTTGTTTACACACCTGACGGGGAGTGATGCAGATGCAAAGTGGGATTTAAAGCCATCACAGAACCTTAAAAATAGCACAGTGAAAGTCATTGTTCCCCTTTTCAATTAGGAGGACAGGAAACAAAACGGGTGAGTGTGGAGGCTTTCTGCTCCAGCCCTGAGGGAATGACCCAGAGTCATGAGAATGTAGGCCAGATATTGAAGCAAAGAATGAGAAGCAACAAGAGACAACAGAATATAATTTGTGTGGATAGACTGTAGCAGACTCTGCAGAAAGATTCTCAAAACATTTTATTGAGAGGATATTTTATATTGCTGTGGGCAACTGCTCATCTTCTACAGCAGAAGTGGAAAACTGCTGGTGAGACAAAACAAGCTACTTCAATGTAAACACCACCTTTGTTTCACGGCGAACAATGCAGTAGCATTTTGCTAACATGGACATTTTTTAGGGTGATAACAGTAAGTATAATAAGTTATGTGATTAAACAGAGCAAAGAAAAATATACATCATGCATCACGGAAAATAACTTTGCTGTGAATCAGTCTCCTTAGGGAAGCAGCAGAAGTATTGTTTTCCCAGTCACCCAGAGTTTGAAGGGAGAGGTACTGAAGATTGTGTGGTAGAGAACACTGGTGTATGGACCAAGGGATGGGCAAGCCTGTTTCTCTTTGGAACTAGGTTTATCACTGGATGCATTTTTAAAGGCATAAAAATTCCCATAAGGATTTTCTGGGTTTTTAATAGTGATGGCAAGTCAGAAGTGAGATGATAGGAGAAAAAGGAGTTTATCACCATAAGGTAGTGTTGAAGGATAGGACATGAAGTAGGAACGGGGCTTGGGGGAAGGAGAAGACAAATTCAAGAAAGGAGTTACTGCACATGATGAAGGGCAGCCTCTGCTTCAGGAGAAGGGTAGACAGGGACTGGGGGGACAGTCAGGTTAGAGGAGGAAAGAAGTCAGCTCTGAGAGGCATATGTGGATGAGAGAGTGACAATCAAGACATAGAGAAATGAGTGAGGATGGAAAAAGGAAACACGTGTTTGTGAGCAAAAATAGTTGCAGTTATAGGAAGCGTGTTGTGGAAACAGACTGCTTGTCCCAGGTGGTTAACTGTAACCGACCATAGTATCTGCAAGAAACATTTCCAAATTGCAGTCATGATGTCTTTGTGAAGTAAGTAAGCACTGACAGAGGAGGGAGGCAAAGACAAAGACTGAAAGGCAACAGAGGAGTCTCTGTTGGTGTGGGATGAGAAGGTGAGCATCCCTGATGCTCGGCCCTGAGCTAGGCTTTGTGTCCCTTTGTGAACATACACTGTGAGTGCCCCAGGCTTTGCTGGTTCATTATCAAATAAGCTCGATCACCTAAGGAAATCACTGTCTAGATCAAACTTTAGAGTGCTGACAAACGTACCCCAAAGTATACACTGGGCTGTACCCTTTTGAAACAAAAGGAGCAACGTGTTCTAGCAATCCCAAGTACCAGGAATCAAAAAAGGAGAAGGGGTAATTCCAGGCTTAAGGCTACAGTGACAAGAGAAAGAGAGAACAAATACAGACTGTGTACTGGACAGTGGGAATTGCTCCAATTGTTGTAGCAAGGTCTGTGCCAACCAAGCTATACCGGCAGCTATCCTTACCCCAGGAGGGAAAGAGATGTCTGTTAATCATCTCTGCATTGGTGTAACTTGTAAGGTCACAGAGGGAGGAGGGAAGGAGTAAGTTGCGCCAAAATAACTATACTGGTTAAAAAAAAAAATCTCTATCAAAATTACTTTCCTGGTGAAATGCTTAAATTCTTAAAAAAAGGCAACACATTTTTGAACCCTAACAATACTGATTTGGTTTAAAGCTTATTTTCACCAAAAAAAGGCTAAAACTTTGCTCAAAGTAGTACATTGCCCTACACCTTTATTGGCCTCCCAAAGGTGTGGGTGACGGTACTTTACACATGATTCTCTTCCTTAATTTTATAGCAGCAGCAACAGCAGCTCTTTTTACTAGAAGCCTTTCTGGCTGCTTGTCTTACTCTTACTTGGAGGGCAATAAAGGTCCTGTCCCAGGAGAGGGCTGCTCTGTTATTCCAGTGCTTCCCATAAATTGTTACAGGGGATGGGAAAGATGGTTCTACCTGGAGCCTCAGTAGATCCCAATGTGGGTCATAACTTCATAGGGAAAGCTCATGAATAAGGTGTATCTTTTTCAGCTTTATCACTGCTTGAAACTCCACATATTACTCTTGAGCTTCAGAATTAAAAGTATACTGCAGAAACTTTCACTAGTTAGAGTTGCTTAAGTTTGGCTCCGGAGACCTAAGTTGAAAATTTAGATCAAATCCTGACTTGACTCAGGTTTAGATCTGATTCTAATTTAACAAAAGACAAAGATTTTCAGGTCTTTGCAAAGATTTGAAGACAGTAAAACTCTCTGCCAGTGTCCATGTGAATAGATCTTTAGCAGTAGTAGTGAAAGAAATTAAATCACTTTTTGAGGAAGAGTAAACCAACACATAGAGATTTATTCACACAGTTAAAAGTAGGAGTTAATCTGTAACCCAGTCCTGTTATTCACAATTTATTTTATACCACTGCGTGACAATTGCAAGGACTCAGCCCCAGGATTGTCTGTCAGGAACCAACATAAGGCCTTTGTGTCTTTTCTTTGTGCAATCAGAAATGCTAACTGCATCTAATGTATTAAACATGATTTAGAAGCTGTTTTTCCAGCATGTTAGCTGCACTAAAATTAGTATTATGGGCATAAATAAATAATCTGTTCTAAATGATTGTAGAATATGTTATCCCAAAGGGTCCTAAAACATTCTCAGAATACAGATGGATAGCAGGCAAGAATAAAGTGTGCTGAACAAAATCAGAGAGAGGGAAGGAGAGACACTTTTGACCTAAGGCCCTAGGGTGCTGGGTCAGATCTCCTTCTCTCAGAGAGCCACATGAAGTTTCTCATACTCAGAGCAAGCCTGACCTCCAGGGTGGAAGTCTTATGTCAGAGTGAGCCTTCAGGTAGTCACAGGGCTGATGGGATCGTTCTGCAATTTAGACATGTTCTTCCAATGAATTCCAGCACCAGGACACACAGGAGACTCCTACCTGACTAACAAACGTTTTCCACATAGAAGAACAAAACCATCAGTTATATAAGACAAGCTGAGCTGGTGGGGAGAAACCAGGTTGCCAGTTGCGAATATGCATGTATTGTAAGTTAATTTAAGGAACAAGTTGTTGACCATGGGCCATCTGCAGGAAGGATACTGTAGATGACTATAGCCTCTATCGTGATAGATTTAACGAGAAACAATCTTTGCAGAAGTGAACATCAAGCATAATGTCAGAAAATCTTTCATCTTCCCGTGTGTGACAATAAGCTGTGAGGTAGGAAAAAAAAAAAAACCCAGCAAACTCCACAGGTGTGGGCAACAGCTAATGCTGACATAGCTATAATGTAGTCAGGGGTTAAAGTAAAGAGCCCTTCTGATTATCATATCATTTCCTCCCATTGACCACAAACCACTTCCTTTTCTACCCATGAATTCTTCCTCATTTTCACAGTAGGCAGAAGGCTGATGCCTCTGTGTCAGGCAAGCATGAAGTTGGTTGCTGTAACTTTCTGTGTCGTCTGCTTTCAGTTTGAAGCCCTGTATGGTGAGTAACATTTTGAATTATTCTCCTTGCAGTAGACGTCTTTATGCAATATAACTCACCCAGTGATGGGCGACAGTAAATGAGGCATGATAGCAAGGGGTTGGAGGAATAGAGGTAATTAAGGGAAATACCTGCAAAAAAGACCACTCTCAACTTTAATATCACTAGAGTTGGTGGGAAGAAAATTCCTGCCAGTGCAAGGCATTTGCTCTGAAACTAAAAAGCACAGGTTTTCATTGTTTCTATTCTTTAGCTCATCTGCTCAGTGTTACCCTCCAGCTGTTTAGACTGTAGTACTCCAGCCAGCTTCCCTTACTGGGCATAAGGTCTTACAGCAGCATGATGGTGAATGGCTTAATAAAAAGAAGACAAGCTATTGATATTAAACCTGATCTTGTTTGGGCAGGAAATTTTTATACTATGAAAAATGTATATGGCATGGAAGAATGAATGAGGTAATTTTGGTGCAGGCTTGAAAGGCAGACTGATTTAAAAGGAACCATAGCATTCCTAATGCTGTGTTTGAGAAGGCACATGTTGACAGCACTGATCTCAGTCCATCCATAAACATGGATGTAGTGTTTTACAAGATTTAGTGTTTTATCACAGCTATGCAAAGTAAAATACCAGAGATCACATTTATTTGTAGCCTCTCTGAAATTCACATATTATCGGACCAGAATGGAAATATAGATAATATAGATAATATCTGATTAGGTGGAGTCTTTTTTTTTTTTTACATATATATACTATCCAAAGATTTGATATGATGCATCATATAAGTAAGACCTGAGATTTAGTGCACACAGTTACTAATCACTCTCTAAACATGTTCCTTTGAAGGTCATGCCAAGGGCTATCTGCTTCTGAAATTCTAGCGATATGGGATAGGTTTCAAGTCCCCCTGTAGGATTTAAGTACTCCTGAGATTTCATACCAAATTTAAACTTTCATTTAAATAAAACCAGTTTCCAGGTCTTTAGGCAATGCAGATATCCTTCTGCAGGTTAACTAACACAGCAATAGTATACTGAGTTTTCAGATAGATTGAAAAGATGAGTGAAATCACAGGGAAGGACAACTGTGATCAGTATCTCTAAAGGGACATGAGCTGTTCTTTTTCTTGTTGAAAACTTATTCTTAAAACCACTAACAAAAAAATCCTATCAATTTTGTTAAATGTTTCTCAGCTAGTCAATTTAGCAGGTATACTTGACCAGCATGCTTTTGCATGTGGCTGGAGCTATCTAAAAGGCCATTCCTTGTGGGAAGAAATAGGCTGCAATTTTAAGGATGCAAATAATTACTCTGTCTGATGCCAGCGTTCCTCCCTTCTTTCTCCCTCCCTTCAACTACAGAGGATAGGATTTGGGCAGGAGTCTGGGAAGAGGAGATGGCACGAGAAAGACTGCCTGTAACTAGAAATGGTATCTCTCGGGTTTTTTACCTTGTAGTGCTTTCAGCATAAAAAGTACTAATTATTATCATTATTTCTAAAAAGAAAAGGATGGTAGATGGTCACCTTGATGTAAGATACATTAGTATGACCCTCTCATGCATAGAACAAGCTAGCACTCCAAAGAGTGCTGACAAGCACCGTGGCAGATTTTGGGGAATAAAAGCAGAGTAACTTCTGAGATTTTGGGCGATTTTTGACTTAGCGACTAGCAAGCCCTACTTGTGGTCTATGAATAGTTTTCTTTCAATGTAAATAGGTCACAGAAGGTGATGTATGTGTGTATACATGCATTATGATTTGATAACCCAATTGTGATAAAGAAATTGTAAGAGCATGGAGCCCCTCTGGTGCCTGTAGAGAAACACAGGCAGTGGGATTTTGGAGTACAGAGCTGTAGGATTCCATAGCACTTGAGTTCCTTGCTATGAAACTTTGCACATGAGCTTTTGCATGCCAACATTTGCAAAGCATTATCGCTGTTCACCCACAGATCTTCTGTTGACAATACAGGAGGAAATCATAGTAATTTCTTAGAAGGGTGTCTGAAATATTATCAATAATGGCTGCTGTGTTAATGGTATATTTTATAAGAGTTTCTGTATTTCACAGCATATGTTATACCATAGAAATAATTCAGATTATAGATGGCTTCCTAGAGTAATTCTGGCCATTACTTGCTTTGCCCAGAACCACTATTTTACTCGCTTAATCCTTGATTCTTGAAAGATAGGAACATGTTAGTTTTAGGCACATGACTAATGAGACTGAATTGACAGCATCATCTTTTAGAGCGCCTTGAAAGGTCAAAGCTATAGCAACTTAAAAAACTGTGTGTGGTTTTATTACACATTTAGTATTAACAAAATAAATGTGTTTGTTTTATAGGCAGGGTCTGCACTCTCCTTGCTCATCTTCAGAGTTAAACACACACAAATGAAATTATGCTTCTTCTTTTTATCAGCTAATTAGTTTTCTGAGAGTTGAGACAGATAAACAGCAAGAAAACCAAGCGAGAATATTCTGTTTTCCTACCCTAAACCTAAAGTTTTAAAATGAATTGAAAGTGTTTTTTAAAATTCTGTTAGGACCAAAATGCACAATGGATTGATGAAGTTTACAAATAGCATTGGGTCTGCCAAAGAGCAACCAGAAAGATCGTAATTGCAATCCCTTTAAAATGAAAATAACCCACCTTCCATTGGCTTCAGTGTCCAAGCACACTACCATAGAAATTCTCAAACTTCCACCAAAGTACTTTCCCACTGCAGTACAGATAAAATCAAGATGGAAATGTACATGACTGTAAATACACATATACATAGGATGTTCACACACACACTCTTTCATAATTTAACATAGCAAGATATTACCTAGATACAGAAGTTCATCTCTTGGATTCACATATGAACCACAATATTTGTCTTGGCACTCTGCTTCACATGAGGTGATCCAGGAACAACTCTGCGCAACTCCACAGTGTGACATTGCTATGAAACAAATTAAACATTTGTTTCCCCTTGCCTCAAAAGCTTCTTATGCAACTGAATTTGGTCTTTTATGAAAAATACCAAAAAAAGAACTTTATGGTCAAGTCTAGGCATTTTTATTACTGAACTAGTGAGATTCTTCTGTTCATTTTCAACAATAGTGTGATGCAGTCTTTTATTCATGTATTTTTTGAGGTAGTATTAGGCAGGCTTAGTAAGTGAATGTCTCAATATTACTGGATGCTTAAACCCCAGTTTCCTATCTCCCATCACACTAAATGTACATTTATTTTGACTGTTGCTTGGCAAATGACATCTCAAATGTGTCTGATCATTAACCACAGAGTGTAACAGGTCCATAAGATTACCCTAGGAATGAATAAATGGGCACAGGAGAACAGCAAGCAGGCACAGGGAGGGAGAAATAAGCCACCTTTTAGTATGCAGTGTATCGCATTAGGAGCTGATGCAGAATAGCTAGTGCGTTGGAAATTCGTATCGGATCTCACTCATTGTGGTTATCCATGTAGACAATTTTGTGTTTCAATCTCAGGTACTGTTAATCTCATTTTAAAATGTGCTCCCTTTATACTATGCTAAGCACACTCTTCTATATGGTCACTTGTTTCAGAGGAATACTAGTTGCATCACATTTACCAAAATGCTCATTCAGAGAAATATGTTACTGAGTCCTTCTTTAAAACAGGCAGCTAAGGCTTCTGGGCCTGAGAGGATGCAAAATGATCTTTCAGCTTGCCACAAGGTCACATGAACTACATGCTTAATGACCTCTCTCTGTCCTTTTCCATTAAAAACAAGGATTAAAACCATGAACTCTGACAAACATTTTAAACCACCTGGTATGAAAGGGCAATTTCATTAGCTAACAGCAAAATTGAACTATTCTGAGAGACAAATAGAGAAATGAAATTCAAAGCTGTTGCTTTAGTGCTCTGAGTAGGGCAGCCCTGCACCCCTCTGGGGCATTGGGGGAATATGGCACTGCTTGGCTCTGTAGCTGCCCTGACAGAGTCAGCATCTGCCTCTCCTCTCAGATGACCAGTGACAAATGTAGAAGCAAATGTAGAAGTCTCAGCTACAGGTGGGTGCTTCTTGAAAGTATCAGGTCAGCTTACACATTCACCATGCTCCCTAGCTTCTGCTATATCAATACACTTGTTTTTTAATTCCCTTCCCTAAATAATTTGTCTGCTGTTTGGCCTAGTTTTAAAGGTATATATTACCAAACTACAGGCCATCAAATTACAGAGCATTTTAAAAGACCTTTATTTCAAATGCTGTTCTCATAGCAGCTGTTTTCTTTTACCATGCAACATGCAAGTCATCAAGATCTGTTTCTTTATTTGACCTTTGCTTTCAGATTTTCAGACTACATACCATTATGAAGGCTTGCACTTTCTGTATCTGTGCCTTCAGCATATCTAGAGCTCTATTCACTGTGGGTTGGCGAGCTGTGTATTTTGTCTGTCTTATTTTCACACCAGTGGTACAAGATGCCAAATACCTTGTCTGTTATCACACGCTTAAGTAATAGTCCTGAGAGAAGTACAGATATTAGAACCATTGCTGAATTAGATAAGGGTGCTGACTGTGCACAGTAGACCATGAAGAGTGTGATAACCAGGAAGAGGGTGAATCAATCAAAAAGGGATAACAGTTCCTATTGCTTTCCAACTGAGCATCACAAAGTGGCTTCCAGAAGTCCATTAGCTTGTGTGTCACACTAAAAATTTTTTAAATGAGTATTATTCATTGTAATGCCCTTGCCAATGGTAGTAAATGGGGAGCAAGAATTCAAAGGAGGTAAAAGCATGGGCACTAAAAGATTACCTCCATCCAGAAAGAGTTGAGAGCATACAGAGGTACCCAAGTGAGAATAATCTTCTGTTCCTGTGCATATCTAGGCCAGATGTCAAAGACAACAGGTGCCTTGGGAAAAAAAAATATTTATATTGTGTAATAAGCTCAATACCTGGAACAACTGGGGACCTACTTCGCGTGGATCTAGACTACCATGTAGCAAAACAACAAGAATAGGATGGTGCATCAACGACTTTAAGTATTTGTCTCATATTTCCTTAGCATAATAAAATCCTGCTGTAGAGTATATTTCAGTCTAAGCAGTCTCTGAAGAATGAACTTAGGCTACCATAAAACAGGAAAAGCAGATACAGGTTTTTTCTACTTGTGTCTGTACCTGCCTATATCTTTGATTCTAGGGCACTGTAAAAAGAAAAATTCCAAATGAAACATGATCGGGCTGTGCTATGCTGCCAGTACTGACATATAAATAATTTCAAAGTGGTACATGCCATCAACCCAACCAGAAAATTCCACTGTCAGTATTGCCATAGTGGGTGATGATGGAGGCAGCAGATTAAAAAACAAATTCAGAACCTGTCTCCTGTAATGGAGGCTGCCTGTGCACAATGGACTGAATACAGTTTGATAATCGTGAAGAGAAAAAGTTGATATTGAAAAGGAACAAAACCGCATGCATTGCTTGAATATTTCCTCGCTGTACTGGAGTATCTTCCAGATACTAATTCAGGATGTGCCAGAAGAAGATAGTTTGATGCAGTGTTGAGCAGTGGTGGAATCAGAATTAACATAGACCAAAATGAGCATTTTGGTCTGGAAATAAAGTATAATGCTGACTCATCGCAGACTCTGGATTCACAAAATGTCAAAAGTATGCTTTTTTATTTGGGGGCAGACTTCCTCAGTATTTGGGGGGAATTTTACTTTAATCTCAGCTTCGCTTTATGAAGTACATATATTACTTTGCAGAGGTGTTTTAAGAATTTGCAAATGATGTATGTATGATCAATATTAATTCTCACTCAATGCATTTTCTTTCTACTTTGATTTTTATATGTCATGCTTTTATCACATCCTATGATTTTATAGTGTAGCACAGACAGGAACAGATAGGCTAACGACACAAAATAGAAAACAACTTCGGCATCTTAGCATTGCATGGCTCAGCCACTGTTCCCGAATCTCTCTTCTTGAATGTTAAACAGGAAACTATTTTGTATTTTTCAGGAGTTGATATCTGCTCATCAAGACCATGCAAAAATATAGGTAAGACACATTTGCATCATTTGTTTTATGGTTTAAAATGTCTTTCTAGATCAGCAAATACTGTCCTTGAAGAAAAAAAAATGTCATTTTTTTACAGCACACTTTAATATATTTCTGTCTGAGGGAGTTTGCCATGCTCTTGGTTGCTGCCTTCACAAAGTCAAACTGTGAGGTAGCAGGAGATCCTCAGCCAGTTTACTTTCCTTTCCGTCTCCAATAAATTCACAAGATGAGAGTTGCACAACATCTGAGAGCTTTTCAGACAGTTTGTAGGAAGGTCCAATGTGATTTTTGGATTGCATGCAGGTGCATGCACACAGTGACATTTGTCCTCTACTCCTCCCATTAGGTTAGTGATAAAGGTGCTATAGCCATCTAAGTAATTCTATTTAAACTTTATGTCCTGACTCAAGCCACTATCTACTCTAGAAAGGAAAGTTAGGTTTTGTGTTTAAGGCACTTATGTAGGAGTTTTGGGTTTGCATCCCATTTTAAGTTTTCAGCTACATCATTGGGGTGCAGATTATGAACCATAAACCAGAGATAATTATCATCATCTTCGTCCCACATTGTTTTATCTATGAATAGGACTATCAGTCTGAGGCAGAGATTATATATCTGTATGGTGTTTGGTCCAAGGGGGCCTTTAAACATTATCAAGTAACTCACCGGTCCAATGCTAACAGTGACCCCTCCAGCCTTATAGTGGCTAACAGGCCAGGTCTTATCTCATTTATTTTCTCAGTAATGTCTGACATGATCAGAATTATGCACTTGTATCTCATTGTACAGGCTGCTTTCCACAGCCAGATTATTCTGAGTATCTACATGCCTTAAGTTTCAATCACATGGTTCACTTGTTTTGCTTAAATGAGTTTCTTAACATTGTAGGGATTCTTCTCATTGCTATGTGAGTGACGGTACTTATTGTTTTCATGTCTTCAGATCAGCCACATGTCTCTGAGCCCCAGGTAATGGTGGAATTTGAAAATGGAAACTTCAAGTTCACATTCCCCAACCCCAAAAATGTGAGTGAGTTCAGCATGACCCTCTTCAAAGGGCATGAAAAGAAGGAGATCTGTGCACTCCATTTGAGCGAGGAGAAAGTTATCCCCAAGAGTAATGTCAGCTACTGTCAGACAGAGCATTCAAATAGCAGCACGACTTTCATTCTTAGAAATCTGGAAAGAAAGCATATTGACATTTACACCTACTGCCTGGAGATGTTCTTACCCCCTCCTTATATAGATTGCCGGCTGAAAGAAACCTATTTGTACATCCAAGGTAAGTTCACTTCTCCCCTCACTTCAGTTTACTGGCATGTAGACATTGGGCACAGCCATGCTGCTGTGAAAAATGTGACTAGAGTTTGCACAGATGTTTCCAAGACAGCTTAAAACTACTTAGCAGGGGGCTGATAAAGGTGGAGCTGTGTTGGCAGACTGCTTAACATGGCCTCTACATATTTATTCATCTTCTTGGGCAGGTTTTGCAGGCCATGCTGAGCTCTGCACATTGTTGCTGGCACCCAAGCTAGCTAGACTACATCTTCTGGAGTACTGCAGTACCACCTTTGCTTGCAGCACAAATTTCCCATTGTCCATTTTCCAAGCTGCTGAATGTAAATGTTAAGATTATTTCTAGCCAGGGGGGAAAAAATCCTTTCTGAGAGCTATCTTCATGTGCCTAGGATAAAAAAAAAAAAAAAAATCAGCTGTCAAATATCTGTGCCAGTAGTGGTATACAGAACTCTCTGACGCCACATTGATGTGAAGAAGGTGGTGTTCACCTCTGAAGCAGGCCTTTAGCTTTAGAGCTTTCTTAGAGCAGAAGAGATCCACAACTGCTAAGAAGTTTTGGCCTTTTACTGAGAAGGGCTTGGACTCACTCCAGAAGACTTGCTGCACAGGCTTTAATTTTTAATTGCCTTTCCTTCAGAGGCTCTTTGGTATATTAAGCTGAAAGAGCTAATAGTGTTTTCACGTGGTTCTCCATACAGTTCAGTTGCAACATGGCACTGCCTGTTGTCATTCCTTTACCATCTTTCCTATCTCTCAACACTAGGACTAAACAAAGATAGGAGCTGAAATGTTAAGGCTACAATTATGTGGTTGGGTCAAATTATCTCTCGGTTTTCTCTGAACTTGAAACAGTTTCTCAGAATCAAGTTGTGACATCCATTTTTGTCTGATGTGTTTCCCAAAGCCCTCCATTTCCATTTGTACAGATAGCTGGATGCTCATAGCTATTGCCAGATGTTTCATGCCCTATCATATTTACTCCCAGATCTGGGCAAGGGTAATCTTGTGTCTCTCAGCTTGCCTTCCTATCCAGAAATGACTGCCAAAGTCCACCATTCTTTTGGCCAGGCTGCCCTTTAAATCAACTGTGGTACTCATTGAATCTGAACTTAAGCATTGCTCAGATCTGAAATACCACCATGCTCTCAAGCCTGGCTTGGTTTCTTTTCAGTCTACACCTCCAGCCCTGTGTACCAACAGCTTCACCCCTCCTTCTGGAAAACTGCAATGTTCTGCTTCCTCCTGAATACACTTTTCCAAGGTAGCTTTTCATCTCAGGAAAATATTTATCCAGAGCACATTTTTGCTATTTTATTAATATGAAGAGAAGAGAAAAAAGAGCTTGAGAAATTATCTCTTGGTGTGTGTGTGTGTGTGTGTGTGTGTGTGTGTGTGTGTGAAATGCAAATTATCAGTAATGGCTTTATTTTTTCCTTCCCATCTCCAGATAAGGAAGACTGCATTTCACTGGGATTCATGTCATGGATAATTATTGGCCTGATCATGTTTGCCATGATTACCTGTGTCTGCTGTATTGTCGCCTGTTGCTTAAGAAACAAGGTAAGCAAGTCTATGAGATCCTGCAGAGCCCTCCCTCCAAGGGTCATGGAGGGGAACTTGATTTAATGAGATTTAGAGGGTGGGACAGGCACATACTCACTCAGCACATGATGTGTTTTTTGACAAAGAGACTGAGTTGTTAATTTACCACTGGAATTCAGTCATTGATGGCAGCAGCTCAGATTTAATTTTTCTAAGACAGAATTGTTTATTGATTTAAAGGCTTGGAATCAAAGGAAAGAGGAGAAATGCTGCACAGGTCAGCAAAATTACTTCGGTGAGCAATTCCCCTGATTGTTTTCTTCAAGAAGGGGAAACAAATCATCAGTGGAGCAATTCAAGTTCTGTTTGAGAGCAAAACCACTTAAACAAAGAAGCAGCTGGCTCAGGAGAGAAAGGAGACCATGGACATGAGTTATTCTTTTGGACAATGTGTGGTTTTCATTTTCAGTTAGTTTTATTCCAAGATTTCTGTGTGAATGCCTGTCTATTCTGACTTCAATATTCCCACTGAAAACAGCCAGAGTAACTGCCCTACTTAAATAAGTCAGGTGTGATGCAGCAGGTTAGTAACCACAAATCAAATCCATGGCATTTTCTCTCTGTTTGCAGAATCAGCAGTGTGAATCCAATTCCCATGAGTACAACAGTGAATACATGCCCATGGCAGCAGTGAATGCAGCTAAAAAACCAAGAATCTGACTGAGGTTGTATTAAGCCTAGTTGTACTTGTACCTCTGCTTGCTGCAATACTTCCTCTGGGAGGGAAAGGACTGCTTGCTGTGTCTCCCATTGATTCTAGGTGGGTGGGTGGGATTGTTACAATAGCTTGTTAATGGAGTTCATGCAGCTATGTAGCAGGAAGAGGGAATGAAAAGCAAAATGTCTGGAAATCTCTCAGTTGGAGCGATGGGCTGGTTCCTAGAAATGCAACTGCTTCACATCAGTGCAAAAGGAATGATCTTGTGCATGAGGAAGAGATGTGAAGCTGATTCAGATTATTCGGATGATGCGTGGTACCCAAAGTCTCTTTGGTGAAGTGATTTGTTTATTGCTACTGGCTAAATGCGAATAATCTGTAGAGAATGAGGAACTTCCTAACTACTTAAGGCCTTGCATAGTAGCCAGAAGCAGTTCTGGATACAGAACAGGAGCAGAATTTGGACTGATTCAGATGTATGGGGGTTGCATGTAACTAATTCTCCATTCCTATTCCAGGTACAAGTTGCTTGTGGCATAGAAATTCTGGCAGCAGAGATTTCCAGTTACTTGAACCTGGACAACGGGAAATCAGCATTTCCTCACCTTTCCCAGCCTCCCTGAGTTCTGTGATGATCCTGTGCTCAGCCATGAGACCCCCCACCACTAGTACTGTTCTGAGCGGTATTTTGCTCTAGCCTTGTGTGTTAACTGGCACACTGCCTGATCCACTGACTTAACCATGAAGTGCTAACATTGTGTTAAAGATATCAGCTTTTAGTTGAAGAAAATGTAGTGAGTTTGCTTGAGAGTAGATTCTTGTAGTGCTGCTACAGAGGGTACTTTTATTTTCTACAGTCTCCTTTAAGATAAACTTTCCACTGGGGACAAAAAAAGACTACCTCCAATGCCAATCCTTGTGGTACAGCCATGAAGCACTGCTGATGTATTGCACATGCCCTTTTGTTAGGGCTAGTTTAGCCTGATGTTACCAATTCATCCTCAGACTCACAGTCAAACTTCTTAGCACCACACTAGGAGAGTATGGTGTGCACACATGCTCTCCTGCACCAAGCTGTGTGACAGCAGAGGAACAAAACCTGGGAGGGCACAGCAGAAACTTCACTGTGACACAATACCTCAGGTATGCACATCTGCATTTTTCGTATTTGTGCTGTCAATATATCTTTGCTATTCATACCTTGGGGCTCCTCTTATTTAACTAAATTCTGAATTATTTTCCTAACAGAGGAATATATTACTTTCAAGACTGCAATTGTTCTTTAAATCAGTTCAAACCTGCAGGATCAGTCCCTAAACTGGGAGGCATGATCTCTCCTATTCACACGTCTTGCAGCACAAATACAACACGGTCCATAAGGCCAGCGTATTCACGGACTCTGCATTGCAATTATCTTCCTCTTGTGGTTTGACACGAAACCTTTACCACTTCCCCAGTGGGTTCAGGGTTTATTTGACCTGCCTCAAATTGCTCAGAGCCTTTAGTACGAATGAAATGATCAACCCTTCATGCTCCTTGTGAAAACCATCAAAACTCTGACCATAAATGACCAACTGGGAATCCAGCCTTGGATATGTTGCCAGACACCATTTGGCTGCTGGATGCAGAGCAGTGCATTGATTCTGGGTCTCTGTGATTCATTGAAAAAAACGCATTGGTCAGAGAACACTATTGTGAAAGATACATAGCCTGCTTGTCTCGGCAAACAGAAGGCTGGTTTCAATTTTGATAGGGCAAACAGGGACTGTCAGGCACGAAGAGGACATAAGATGGTATGTCAAGAACAGGGTTTTCCTCAACAAACACCTAAATACATAGAGGTATTTCAGAGAGAAAATGAAAATTGTTAACAGTGACATTAAGCAAAGGGGAAATGAATAAAACATTGAATGAAGTCGGGACTGCCAGTTTCACAGCAGGTACCCTGCTTAGATAACCAGTTCCTAGGAAGAGATGTAGAGGGGCACCCTGGTGTGTTGGGTAACATTACATTCTTTCCTGTCGTTCTGTCACATAACCTTTGACAAATTTCTTGACCTCCTCAGCAAACAAAACTCTCCTCTGTACGTCCACAAATACGCAGGTTTCACCATTTCAAAAAATACTGGTGAAAATATTGCCTTTGAAAATTATTGCGTTTGAAAATTATTGGTGAAAATAGCTAACTTTGACTGCCTATGAGAAATGCTGGACGCAAGATCCTATGCAACAGTGGAGAGTCCTATCCCCTGGAACCTTTCACCAGCATGAGAAGGAAACTGAAGGAATAAAGACCTTCTTAAAGAAGGAAAAACTTGAGGTTTGCCTTGAGATGCTGCTGGATCTCAAGGACCATTGATGGAAGGACAAATGTCAAAGGACAAGGGATAGAAGTCTGGACAAGGTAGTTCAAAATACATACGTTCTACTCTGGAGAGATAAATGATTTGCACTCATTGTAATAAAGCTTTTGGAAGTCTTGGGTTCCATCACTGGTTCCTTTTTGGAAAAAGATTTTTATTCTTAATAAAACATTTTTTTTTATTGTGCGATGTGTCTATAAGAAAGCTCATGCATGCATGCACATCATGTGAAAGAAATAAGATCTATAAAATCCATAGTGCAATGGGAAGAGAGTACAGAACCATTTATCCCCGTATAGCATCTCAGTGTGAAACAGGAAAAGGATTAAGGAAAAAAATATTATTAAAAAGGTGAAAACCAAAATTTTCAATCTATTTCCATGAAGTGAGGTAATGACACTGTTTTGATCTGTTTGTTTCCCTTAATTTTCATAAGAACATATTTTTTCATATTGTCCTGCCTCTTCTTCCTTTTTTGTAATCCCATATTCAGTATACAGATAATGTTCAGGATTATTTGGGGACATTTTTCAGTTTCTTTCTGTCATTCTTCAATATCTCCAAATGAAAAAGAGCTGCCAGAAGTAGAGGATGGTAGAATGAGAACAAAAAATTCCAGCCAACCAAACAAAACAAAATAAGTATCATGAGATGAGTCTATAGACAGTGTGACAAGAAAGGATTAAAATAAAATAAAACAGAAAAGCAGTCAATAAGAGTAAACAAAAAGCCTGATATTCAAACAGGTTAGCATTTCAAAAAGTAAAAACTCTCTTTGGAAACTCCTGGTTTTGGGAAAAGACCATTTTAGCAGAAAAAAAAATAATCAAATAAGAATATTTCAGCCAACTCTTCAACAAAATACAGTTTCAAAACAAGCAGAATCGGAAGTAACATCCAAATAACATCCAGGAAATCGGAGGTTTGAGGCTGAAATAAACTACTAAGACACAGTCTCAACCTATGTTCTCTCTGTTTGCTCCATAATGGTTTAAGGCTGTAACAGAAATTTTACAGTTGTACAACAGTCTATGGCAGAGGTGGTGGTGTTCTACAACCTGTCCCTCTACATCTTTGTCTTCTATTACTTTATGGGGAATATGACAAAAAGTATTTTGGCTAGGGCTTTTCCAGGTGCTGAATCCCTAACAACTGTGTTTGTGTTCTGTCATACAACATGTAACAGAAGATTCTGTATCAGTAAGATGCATTCATACTTTTTGATTTATCATCTCTGTAAGTCACCCTACATGTATTTACAGTCAGTAATGCCCTTTAGATCTTCCCAGTCCATGCCAATATGGAGTGTACGAAGTCAGTAAGTCAGCAAACCAAATAGGTATGTACAGTAAAGAATTACTCATAATGTCCTCGAATGTTAAGACCTGAAATAAAAATTTATAACTTGAGCAAAATTGATGTTGCTAAACAGATAGTATGATCTAATGTGAACAGGTGAAAGGTGTTAAGGATGACAACTACAGCTACTCTAAAATTTAAGGAAGCATAAATGACAATAATATAATAATTTGAGCACCTTCATATCTTGAGATGGTTTGAAATCCAGACCCCAGTATGTATTTTGCAGGCTTGTCTTCTCAGCCTGAATTATGAAAGCAAATCTGAATGCTCTTGGGAGTTTAATGATTAGATTCAAGATTGCAGTTTTGTACCTAATGTATAGCATTGGGAATGAAATGACACTATGAAATGCTGTGTGCCATTTTTCCTTAGTATAGGTATTTTGGTAACTTCGAAGTTCAAGTAGTTTTACATTCTACCGTACTTCTTACAAACTTCTACAAAGTTTATTTAAGGCTGGGGAAAAGAGGCTCTCAAACTAGAGTAAAGTAAACAAATGAATTGAAATGAGGATCTCTACTGAAGATATTGTACACTGTTATTCATAAAGTGTTTTATAATATGGAGAGTCCCTTGTGCATGTGAATCTATAAGTTGCAATGCAGAAGAATAATGCAATAGTAAAAATAGAAAAAATACAGGTCATTTATATTATTTAGTTAAAAATAAATCCAACTGGTTAGGGGGGACTTCTACCCACACAAGGTTTACTGGGGAGCTGGATCTAAGTCTTTGCCATTGGTTTGACTTTAACTGCAATGAGACACTCCATATACCCAAGTCCCTTGAGTTGTCCAGTTCATCATTGCTTTAGCAGTCTATCCACTGTCATAAAGATTTCTCACTTCCTTGAGAGATGAAATTTTGAGATTTGTATTTATGTTTTATGATTATGAGTTCAATTCAGTGTGGGAGGTTGGTTGGAGAAGAGGGAGGAATAGGAAGGATTAAACAGCTTTTCTGGCAAAATGAACTGGCCAGGTATGAACTGGAGATATGAAGAAGAGGTCAGGGAGTGAACTTCATCTAAATCAGTATGCCTGAGCTATTTAATTCCTCCTGGGAGTCATAAGATCTTGTATGGCTTGAGATCAATTTTTAAAAAGAGATAAATCAGCTCTGATTATCAACAAGAAAGATTTAGCTGCTGCACACATCAAGCATAGTCATTTTTAAAAACTGCAAACATTAACAACTTTGAAACACTGAACATCTTCCACATATTAAATTCTGCATCAGTCCTCCCAGTTTTTAGTACTCTGTTGGAAAATCTATCACCAATGATATTTTATCCTCTGTCCCAATGCACTGCAGGAGCAGATTTCACTGCAGATCATATATAATTTGTTGCCATGTCTCAGAATTGAGGCCAGGATTTAATGTCTGGATTGTGCAAACACTTGCAAGGGGGTATTCCCTTTCCTCCTGCTGAGAAGAAAGGCTCATTTGCTGCCCTAGGGTTCTTCTGAAAAAAATCCTGAAACACTGAGAAAAGTGGAAATTATGTTAACACCAGCTGATGAGAGCAGAAGGGAGCACATTGCCTTCCAAAGGTGGCAGTTCAACCGAAGATAATCTATGGAGTTTGAGAACCCTGCATAGGCTTTTCAGGCTACTGAGGTCAAATTTTGGAGGAGGAAGCTCAAAACTGGGATTCTTGGACCTTTTTCTGGCTACTTTCCTCCACAAAATGTAAGGTACTTGTGTTTGTCTATTCAATCAAATAATTTTCGCTTCATAAGAGATAAAGAATGACAGGATTTGCTCATTAAGGCTCTTCTGGTCCTGAGTGAAACAGGGGACATTGTAGTAAGCACTTGGTTGAGTGCCAGTAGAAGTGCCTATGTTGATTCTCCTATCTATGGATCGTCCTGTTGATCAGGCTGGCATGGGGCTACCACACAGCTGGGCAGGACCATGACCATGAGACAAAGGGACAACAGGATATCATGAGGGTCAGAGATGGAGTCAGAGCTCTGTGCTTCTCTTCTCATGAAACTGGTATATACCTAAGTAGCTCTTACTAGCTATTACATCCTGGAAAGCCAGACTGATGCTTGTATTTCCATCTCTTTTCCTGGTTATGTCTCTGCTGTTCAGTCACAACCACATTTCCATGGAAACCTACCTGATTCCATGCCTTGACTCCTCCTAAGACCTGTTCTTCATAGGCCCAGCCAAGACTTTTCCTCCTACAGCATGGGAAGCACTCTGGGGCATCAGGCCATCAGTAGCAGGACTCTACAGTATCTCATCTGTGCAGGAAGGGGAAGGCTCAGGGGATATGTATGGCAGAAGCCCCTGCTTGCTTATACAGTGGTCATGAAACAGAAATTAAAGAGATTGGCATGGCTGTGTCAGAGGGATGTGTGGGTTCCAGGAGTGTAAGGAAGATAAAGTAAATTAAAGGATTTAGGATTTGGGGAGTTGCAATACCTCATGACCATGACACAGTCCCCATTTGCAATAAAAGTAAAAGACTGCAAACACTGCCTGTGAGGACAGATAGCTTCCAGAAAAATAGCTGGTATCCACCAAGTTGTTTGACAAAATCTTAGCCAGGCAGTAACTTCTGTGGACAACAACAGACTAAACTAAGCAACTCTTAAGGCATACTGCCAGAACAAAAAGTATCTTTGCTTCCAAAAAGCCATGTTTTTTACTCAAAGAACTGACTAAAACATGCAGGCGGTGAATAAGGATATCTGTCATGCTCAGTAGCCATGTTTTTTTACTCAAAGAACTGACTAAAACATGCAGCTGGTGAATAAGGATCTCTTTCAAGCTCAGTATATTTATTCGACAGAACACTTCCTGGCCTGGGACTTCAACCCCATGTAACTGTCTGATGGAGGCACTGCCCTCCCAAACACTAGCCATTACCCACGGCTTTTCCTTTTGTGCAGGAGCTGATCAGCCCCCGACAGGGGCACCTGCTGCCACCCACAGCTGTCTGGCCTGGCCAAGGACCCATACGGAGGGAGTGCAAGAGCTGCTGCTGAGCACCTCTTCACCTGTCATTGGAGTCACCTTGCCTGCATTTTCTTGTTTCTTTGTCATGCAGCCAATGCAAAGAGGTATGAAGGATTTTCTACCACAACATCTGTCTCATCAGCTTCAAAAGCTAAAGAGAACTTCACCTCCATCAGGAATCCACCCCAGTTGAAACAAGCCCTGTCTTTCCTGCCAAGTGTGTTGGTAATCTTTACGCTCAAAGATTAAAGAAAAAAAGTATGCTCTCTACTGGAAAATATAGACTAAATAAAATGGCCACCCATGTTGAATAGTGGCTCATAATTGATAATTTCAACTGAAAATTTGAGTAAAAGGAATATCCTCTTCACTCAAGATGGTGAAAACATACATTTTATTTGGTGAGAAAAGAGCCCTCTATACGTTTTAAGAAAACCCCTGTCACTAAGCACAGTTATTACTTCAAACACAAGTCTCTAGGTGATCGCAAACACCTTCTGCACACAGACCACATCTTTCCTTCTGTAATTACAAATAGCCAAAGTGTCTTTCAGAGATCTGAACTATGTTCCAGTAATAGTGACCCATTTCTCTCTTCATGAAAAAAGTGTTTGTTTAGCAGACACCAATAAAAAAAACAGCTGTGAAGAAAACACACATAGAGATATTGCTACAGTTAAGCTAGTGGAATAAAACATATTCAGTGGATTTTTTTAATGTAGACATTCAGTCAGATCACTTTGATGGCTAACCAGAGAACCATACCATGTGACCATGGAATCACTTCTGAGTCATTTTTAAGCTACACTTTCTCTTCTTTCTGTGGTGCTGGCAAATGTAAACAAAGAATG